TCATAGCTGAAAATTTGTGGCGCCATTCTACAATGGCTTCTCAAACATTCTACAATGAGAGTTGTAGATTGTTTGGACTTAGAAGTTCGTGTGCAAGATTTTGAAATTACCCTCTTTATAGTAGCTCAGAATTCATCCGTAGGAGTCGCGTATCTTTAGCACTGCATAAGACTATACCTGGAACTCCTAGCTCCATCACATGATGAGAAAACCTGCAGCATGAAATTCTAGTCGTCCTACAGAGATGAATAATTTTCTGAATATCTAGTCGCCGCTGTTGTATCCAACGATCGACTAAGACGGAAAAGGGTTGCGTGTACAACCCAATCTACGTTGACTGGATGGATTACTCTACAACTCCACCATGCTCACAGAGATGAATAAATTTCTGAATATATCAATGTATGTAACTGTTGCATCCAACTAGGCTACTAGGACGGAAAAAGGTTGCGTGGACAACCAAATCATCGTTGCGTGGTGAATTACTCTTTCAACTCCCCCATGCGTAGCCTAGGATGGATCTATGGAATGACAGAGGTGGATGGGGGAGAGTAACCCGTAGAGCACCTCTAAATTACCAACCAATTGGAAGAGTGTTAACTTCATCCTAACTAATCTGTGGTGAAGTGGATTATTGGTGAAAATGTCCCATCAAATTAAATGATAGATTCACAACAAATTTCTTTCTCTAATCAATACCTCAATAAAAATAAGGTGAAAAATTGGTGGAGAAATAAGTTGAGAAACATTGAAAGTGAGATCTAGTGTAGAAATCATTGGAATACAGAAATATGAATTATAACTAGGTATAGAGTATATATATTATGAGTTTTTTTCCATCAGTCGACAAGTTAACCTGGACATGTCCGTTTAAAATATGGTGATTTATATCCTAAGAACTTCGAGGAGTGCACAGTTATCTTCCTATAGTATATCTGCATGACGTAGAAGCACCCAACAGTTACTAGAATCTTCTGACTGACGGACTGATTGATGCTCGTGACCTACTCATGTAGTAGTTCTTCTGTATACTCTTATATTACAACTGTCAATCCAGACTTTAGCCACAAATAGAACTTGAACCTTGAGAATCCAGATCTCTAACTCATACAATATTCGAATTCCTCAAGCTGAGTAACGTACTCGTGCAAACTTACAAACATCAGTCAAAATGATTTCACATCGTCAAGTAACTTTAGAGTCTTTGATACTGCACCAAGTCCTCAGAGCTATTATGGACTGCTATACTGGTATGAGTCCTCACTTACTCAAAGCTATGTGATTCCACTTCAAGTGAGCGTGTGAGTTGTTCCACAGGAATCTTTCTCTAAACTCCATATGCAGGCGTCACTATCTGAACTTGCAACAATCATTTATATCTGCATGTGTGACTGACTTTTGGTGCACTGGTCTTGTGGCCGTAAAGACTACTGCTGCTGTTCGACAGATTCTTCTTCACCCATGAGAGAATCTTCTCTAAAGTAGAAATGCTGATCGTTTTCAGCAAAGAAACTTCAATCTCGACAAAAATCAGAAACTTAACCTGCAGTTGAAGCTCTTCCTACTCTATGATGTCTTACTTCTACTTCTGAAATCGGATGTATTTTGCAAAAATAAGAGATATCTCCGTCTCGAATATTTCGTGAAAACTTTGCCAAGTGTTGAATCCATCCGGTTTCCCCGATCTATCGTTCTACTTATCTTTGAAATGTCTGCAAGAGAGACAAGTAACTTCAGTCACGTTGAATTGCAATAGTATTACATCTTACATCTTCAAATTTGTGTCAACAGTCTCGGGTTCAACTTATAATGCATCCGTATCGAAAACTCAAAGTTTCTTCCAATCTGACCAAAAGTTTCATAAAGACTGAAGGTACTGCCCATGCCAGCATCCGACCAATTTATTGTGGGATTTGGGTTTTTTTCTAGAATTATCTAAAGTGTATACTTCCGGAATTATTATGTTATTCTGTGCAGCTTTTTTAGCTTTATTGAATATTATCCGACAGCACTGGTCAAATGGCCAAATACCTTATTAAATTAGACAAAAAAAAGGAAATATTCTCAATCACTATCAGCACTGGCCAAAACGGCCAAATACCACATTAGCTGGCTTATTTTTTTTACCTATTTTCAGTATTTTGTTTTATATTTTCAAACTTTATGTTAGCCCAAAAATGGTCTCAATCTTAGCCACCATTAAAACTCTTTTGATATACCTTGGAGTCAAGAACAAACTGCAACACTATTTCTAATTTTATATAATATATCTGCTAAATTCCACAGTGTTTCAGTTCATTTTGTTCAAAATGTTATGCTTCGAGCCTACTACCGCCATCTGGTTTAGTAATAATTATCCGTTTGGCCGGTTTTGGGGCATATGCCTGCCTTCTCAACTCTTTGGATAGTTTTTCAAGGGCCTTGTCGGTCATGTCCGCTTTAGTTCTACCGTCGATTCCCGGGGCTACATTTCCTTTCAGCCTTTTGTAGCCAGCCCTAAGGTTGTCTATATTGTAAATGTCTTCATAGAAGACGCGACTCACCGGTCTAGACTCACCTTTATTGGCCTTGGTTTTAGTAGTTGCTTTCGCTGATTCTGCTACACTCCCAAAAAAAAATATTTCTGCTTTTCTCAGTCTTCCATTTTCTGCCCTGTCCTGTTGGTCGACCCTCTCCTTTTGTCTTCGCACTACGTGCCTGTGGGCTGTTTGACAAAAAAAAGCTTTTTCCGCCGGCACATTACCATCTACAGTCCTTCCCTCAGAGTCTTTCACATTACGGGCATCGTCGTATACGCGACTGGTAGGATTAGGATAGGGCAAAAAGCTCAAATTTTTTTTTTTTTGCCCGGTTGTTATGATCGGGATATGCTAAAGTGTCCATGCATCCGAAAGGAGAAAAAACAGTTAACATATATGCTTCAAAATCGAAGATGAGAGACACAACGTGTCTTTAAGTTGTAATAATTTTTCAATCTGGGTGCAAGGAGCCGTATGATGGGAGACTATCACGTAGGGTTTTGAATCAGGGGCGTCAGAGGAAATTCCTTGGCCTTGACAGTCTTAATTTACACTCCATGACTGTTCATCATAGTCTATGAAGAAGAGCTATGCAAGATTCTAGCCCTTACTTTTTGAATGTCTATGATTCATAGACTATGAATTATAGGCACTAAAAAAACAGCTATAATCTTGCGTAGCTCAGATCCAGCTTGATTGTCATAATTATTAACTCAGTTGCCGCATGCTATAATAAGGGCATGCTGCTTAAAGATATCTACTTATTTACTTACCTAGATCATAGTTTTCTGAATTGGAGTATGAAATAGAAAAGTATCGCAAATTTCAGAACGATGAGAATTATCAAAGTGATCCATTTAGAAGTTTGATGCCAGTGTTGGATTTGTTAAACATAAACAAGATCCACGCCAAATCTCCATCACTTAGACTTCTGGCAATGGCAACAAGAGAGAACTGATTTCTTCTCATGCTGAATTGACGTGAGTAACGGTTTAATGTAATAGAGGCCAATTTATTGTTCTTGGAATCACCGGCGGACATCGGATTCTCGTATACCAACACGTCTTCGGACCTTAACACAACTGAAGATGCTAGTACCGCGATGGATGCAAGCAGATCTCTTATCAACTGGTTTGAGCGATTTCCTCAATACAAGAATCGACCATTCTAGATTGCTCGTGAAAGCTACGCAGGTAAATGCATGCTTGCTCAGATAATATGTGCATGATCTTCACTCTAGATTTCGGATGCCGATTTCACATCTGCCTAAATGTTTCTTCTCTCAAATTGGCTGAATTTAGTTACTCGTTTCCGATAAAACTCTAACTAATGGGCTTATGATATCTAATGATTGTGTCCCTAGTGCAGGACACAATGTTCCCCAGTCGGATCATGTGCTACACAATCACCCAGTGACGAAGACGCATCCCTTTCGTACATCAGCCTGAGGGGCATCATCGTAAGATGCTCTTACATCATCTTCAGTTTCACGCATGGGGCTAACGCCGTAGCTCACCACTCTGACACTAGCTTAGTTCTGGCACATCAGCTGTTCCTCATATACGTCGACCAGAAGGTCTGGTGATTGTAATCATTATGAACTCAATTGCGGCATTCTATACAAGACAAATGACAGACTTCTGACTGATCACTTGGCAATGAGGTTCATCATTTTATTATCGTTGTATTCTGTTTGACGTAAAACATTACTTTGGATTAATTCACGACTTTTCGAATATTGCACTTTCCTGCCTTTGTTTTCTTTTTCCCACCTTCCTGCGTTCCCATGCAACTAATGTTTTTCTTCTTTTATCAAAACTGGTATTTGCAAATTTCTAAGCTGAAGATGCATATGCATACTAATATGAACTGAGACTTTTAAGATGGATATCTTTCGACACTGTCTCTATCACAAATGGAAGTTACAGTCACATGGCGTTACTGTTACTGCAACTGTGGTATAATCGTGTATATAAATCAAGAGTGGATGTATTTTCCACAAGAAAAATGGGCTTCGCTTTCTGCAGTTGATTTTTCAACGTACTCCCTGTACGTTGAAAAACGTAGTAGCGACTAGATAAGAATAGCGAAGCCCACTTTTTCAACGTAGTCCCGGTGCTCGTTGAAGAGAGTGACACATTGGAAACAGGAAGGGTGCACTGAAAAAACGTTGCGGTTGTCGACAGGCAAGCTACCAACCCCGGGCATGACAAGTAAAAGATCGTGAGAGAGTGAGTGAGCTACAGATTTGACAGAAAAGAGATCGGATCTGATTGAAATTCCCTTCTGCTCTATCTTATACAGCTGACTTGAACATTGGAGAGTAAAAGTCCAATCATCTCAGTGGCGTGCATTCGTTCTAGCTCGTGTAGTAGAATCTTCCAAACTGGCAAAAGTGGCATGGCTACAAATACTGAAGGTCATGAGACGTTGTCAGTTCGGTAGAATTTGGCTGGCCTACTTCCAACGACCACTTTGAGGTATTTGAGTAACGTCCGTCAGCCTCAGATATATAGCAAGGCGTCAAGCCTTGCTATATATCTCGAATGAGAGGGGATGAAGGAACTCTTTGCATGGCATTCCCATTTAGTTAGATCGTGTGCCTTCGAGTAACACTGAGGAAGATTATCCCGCAAGTCGGCTAATCTGGCTGAATTCTTGGTTGTCATTTGGTTTACGACGAGTCGTTCACATGAGCTTCGACACCATATATAGAGCCTCGCACGCCTACCAAGACAAGATCAGGCTGGGTCCCAGTCGACTTGTATTGCAACCTTCAGAGTGATATATTGAATCTGAGGTGGGATCCACGGTAAACTGGATCGTTGGCGTTTTGATGTCAATGAATGAAGGTTGAGGTGCAATCGTTTGTTTGTCTCGTGATACAGAAGATCCCTATGTTCTGCCTCGAACTCCAAGAACATCTGCAAGACGAAGTACCAGCAACACGACATCTGATAAGAGGTGGCTGAATCTAATTTCACGCAATCTGTAAGTGCAATCTTTATCTTTTGCTGCAGTATCATATATTTATCTCACTTTGTGGGTGGTAGTCCTTACAAGCTCTACATAGTATCGTTTATGAAATCACCTGCAATACAGTGAAGCTAGACAAAACCTCTGCTTGGACTCTGAATGTATTAAGATTTAACTGCTTGTTGTTACCACTGAACCTGACGCAATGCTGCACTTTAATAGTTTTAGTCCAAGTAACCAGATGAAAGTAGGAGATTCTCAGAAGCGACTAGCATAGAAGGTTATGGAACTTAATGTACTATTGGTGTTATAATATTTCTTCCTTTCGCAGATTCGGAATTTCTTGTAAAACAAACGCAGAAAATGACGACTACTTGGTTGAAAGATTTGGTTTTTAGCAGCAAGTTGTTGGAGAAGGATGCGTTGACCGTACTGCGATATCTGCTAGGAAAGAGTCTTCCCGCTGAAAAGTATGAGATTTTTTTGCCTCTTCTTCTGAAACTGGAGGTAAAAAATTCCTTCACTCACTATCTATAATGTAAGAAGTTAAAGTGTGTTTGTTTCTTATCTCCTCGAGGCTGGACTCCAAATAGTAGCATCATCAGCTATGAACACTTATAAAACAACATGAACATTGGTACATCCAGATAGCTAGAGGCACAATCTTTGGTATTCGAATCACGTCCATCCGGTATATTGGTACATCCAGATAGCTAGAGGCACAATCTTTAGTATTCGAATCACGTGCATCCGGTATATTGAACGTTATTATTATGTTATACTACATGAATACATGATGAACTATTTGAAGCTTGTATGAGTTGACTGTATAATGACAAGATAGCAATATTTTTGCGCAGGATGAGAAGATCACAAAAGAAGACTTCCTGGAAGAAGTGACTGCTCTGATGGGCTATAGGGAATTTGGTTCAATAGTCTTAGAATTATATCATTTGATGGAGGCCAAATCACACTTCAAGAAGAGTAGACAGTAGATGACGTGTTGTTCTATGGGGCAATCTGCAAACATTTTAGAAGCTCCATGCAATAAATGTTATTCGGTTTGATTTCAAATGCTTTTACTTTTCAACTTTACTTGTTCAAGAGATGATTTGTCACTGTTAACATTCTGTCTATTCTCACATGTTTTTCCACTACATGCATTAAAATAGTCCGAAAACTGAACTATCTGTTCAAATTTTTATAAACAGGAAATTATAGTGCCAAGCATGACAGTTTTACACATAAGATGATGAGTAGTTTCGGAACCGTTACTGGTATCGATGATTACTTTCCCTGTGTGTGTTTTGTGACGGATTATGCCAGAAACGAATGATTCACAAGATTGATATGATTCTTCTCAGTACATTCTGTTACCGCGTGTCAGACATAATTCTTGAGTGACAGATGGACACATGCTCTTGTACGTCCACTTTGCACAGTTTGCTTGTACATGAATTGTATTGTTTGTCTTACAATGTTACACGAGAATCGGATGTTATTATGACAGTTCTAACTCAAACAAGTTTTATATGGCTGATCATTTTCTATCAATGAAATGTAAAAACACTAATGTTCAACGATTGAGAAAATTACAAATTTTGATATTTTTGCATATTATTATTTACATGAAAAATCAGATTTCATTAAAAAAAGAAAAATGAGGTTAGTTTTCTTACATTAAAGCTCCAGAATCTGGAAATTACTGTTGCAATCTTAGAATCACCAAAACATTAGTTTTGTGCAATGTAATCAAAAATGATTTTGACATATACTTTTTCTTGTTTATCAGAATAATCCGAGAAGCATCTTTGTCTTCTCTCCTCGGGTTTTGTTTCGAATACCTTCTCTACTGTAGACGAGGCTGCAATTCTATTTTGAACAAACGGTTCATGAATCGTTTCACTCTCTTCCAAAGTTGTGAATAGAACAGATCTGTCTCCTATCCAGATAGAACTATCAGTCATGAACTCGAAGATCATGTTGGCTGGGGTTGTAATTGTGGTGTTTGCAGTCGGAGGTCATCACCGATATCTAGGTCCTCACCGCCATTGATTGCAACTTTTTCAAGTCAACATTTCTAAAGGAAGTTCTCATGTCATCACCAAATTCTAGGTAGCCGCCGCCATTCATTGCAACTTTTTCAAGTCAAGATTTCTAAAGGAAGTTCTCATGTCATCGCCAAAGTTTGCCACCCTAACCGCAACAACTCAGAGTAACTTTCCCACTCTCACGAGATTGGTCGTTTCGTATGCGATGATGTAATTCACCGCATGAGGTCTGCAACCTTCTCACACTCTGATTTCGAACTATTCTTCTTCATGCAAATATGTGTTGATGTGAATGAGGTCGTCACCACCAACAAGCTCTTCGACACCAGCGTTTGGGAAGATGAATCCCTAGTGTATGATACACTTCTACATCAAAAGAGAAGAGATTCTTGCCATTGGATGGATGGGACTCAACAGCTCTAATCCAGTTACCAATAGACTTTCTGATTTTCTTCAAGTTCTTTAACTTCGATGACATAAACATGAATTCGTTTGCAAGATAAACTTCTAGTAGCTGAAAAATGAGAAGGTCAACTAAATTTGCTCCGAGGAAGTAATTCATGTGCTGTAGCATACTAGATTTTCATGGAAGGTTCGCACTAAGCACTTTCTTTCAATCTCTGCACGTCAAAAGGTATCTCATCTTCTGCTAGCTTTGATGACTCTTTCCTACACAACGAACAAACATCACTCAAGCACGAGATGGCGCACTTTCGCAAAATCCAAACAATATGCTATATTACCAATTGTATTCCATCCATATAGATAAATTTATTTATAGATTATGTTACGAGTGGCTAATTCATCTCTGCTATTGAAGATTTCGACTAGCTCTTTAGAAATATTTATATTGAAATTAATTTCCAAGTAGCGAAGTCCAATGAAACTATTATTTAACTTGTTACAACATTGACTTAAAACTCAATGAGAAAAAAATGTATCCATATTTTTATCTACTAATATATATATATATATTTATATTTATATTCAAGAAAAATTTAAAGATGTCAATATATCAAAGATTCTTTTGCTAGAAATATTGTTCTCAAATCTCAATTCTATTCAGTTAGATAAACTTAAGCTTAATATGATAGTTTAAAGTTTGTGACTTTTAGGTTTTTTCACTCTGAAGTTATAAGAGTGAAAAAATAATACAATATATATATACACTTTATTTTTACCACAAATTATATAGCAATAAAGAATTTACTAATCATTTGAAATTTTAAAGTCATTTGAAACATGAGTAGTACATAAATTCCCTATGATAATTTTAATCACTCAATCAGACATATGCGCAGGAATATGGGTATCATTACTAACCGAAAACGAGCATTGCACGGCGCACTTGTCATAAAATTAATAGAACATAAAATAGAGGAAACACCTGATAGATGAAGACTAGAAATTGCTAAATCAACAGATCCTCCAGAATGACAGAATGACTGGTTATACCACTTAAGGGTGGATAGCATATGTGTTGGATATTTTAAAAACATATGAAGCGTGGATGACTGATTATTTTACATCATTTCTTTCTTGAAATTGATTTCAAAAACATATTTTTCATCCTTGATTTGTTATTAAGACTGATAATGAATCTAAATGATAAAGTCACACAGTACAAAACCAAAGTAATCTTTTCCTCCTATGAGATAGTTCAATAAACTTCTCAAGAATCAAAAGCTGATTATGTTTTATTAGAAGTCTTGGACACATTCATACAAGTTTGAGAATGAAAGCTGAATAAAATAACTAAGCATTTGTTGCAACCTCCTGTACATGTTTTCTACCAAATTACTTCCATATGCTCAACGATGTACGCAACATCAATAATTATCTACATGATCTCCATTCGTGTATAGAACATGATCAATGATTCCCGAGTAGCATAGATTTACTGCATGAGCTGTTTTCATGTATTCTGAAGTTTCTGCTTTAAATTGTCCATCATACATCTCCTTCTTGATAGATTGAGTAATATGCATGAAGCATGGTGATAACACGTGCATCATTCTTTCATTATACTCAATCATCAAGGATATATGTCATTGTTTGTGGATTTGTGAGGGACTTGCAAAGCTCCATGCCCTGTGTAAGAATTCCATATGTACACGTCTTAGCAAAAGATCTAACAAGAAATGTAAGAATATTCTATGTAATAAGATTTGAGCAACAAAAACTTATACAGTGCAACAATTAACATGACTTTATAATGGAATTTGCATAGTTCATGATGAGTAGATCGACCTTTGGCACTTTTGATACTCGTCTCAACTGTCCATCCAGTTTAGAACCAGTCATCTTCAACCAATCCTCTCGTATTTCCTTCTTGCTCAATGCAATACGAAATTTGGGTAACATTTGTACGGTTGAACGAGGCAAACGTGCTTCTTTCTTTCTCTTCAACTCCACCTTATCATCGTCAGATTCTTCATCAGATTCACTGACTGTGCTTGTCTTTGTTGGCGATGGTACGGATGAAGTCAATCGATATGATTCCGACTCCGGAAGATCAGGTTCAGATGTCTTGGATATCTGCATAGGCATACTTCGTGTTCTTCGGAGATAATCAGACGGAGGGTTTCTGTTATATCTCCTTTGACTGCAAAACAAATGAAAGAAATTTTGTCAGTAACCTCAAGAAAAATGTGACAACCAAATTATGTAATTAATTTTTTTATTAAAAAACCACTTACAAAATACACGAAGTATGCATTTGTTTTAATGAATTACCTCCTAGGTTTGGTCTTTCTTTTCCCTTGCAGACTAATGATCTCAGTGTCATGCTCCTCCGACTTTGCTTTTGGGGAAGTGTTCAGTACTGCTCTCCTGCGATTGATCCTGCTAGAACCTTCCGTCAAGAAGTGTGAGAGGGGTATATTATCAGTCTCAGATGACTCCCAGTCCGAGTCCGATGAACTGTCATCCTTGACCGCTTTACTCTCCATAGATTCAGCGTCTTCCTCCATGTCAAGCTTCGCTTTCAATGCAAACATGATCCCAGCGTGCAAGTTGCCGAGCTCGAATCTAGACCCAGACTTTGTGAAAACTGAGGAGAGCTCCGCACAAATGAAGACGAATAAGTCTACACCGAGTCTCGCAGAGATGAATTTCCAACAACCGGACGTGAGGATATGATTGACGATTTCCAAGATCTTTGGTCATATACTCGAGATGAGTCTGCAATCGAGAGAGTACTGCACTGACATGCTTCTGCCATATCGACAGCGGCAACGTCTCCATCGAAGCCCGCGGCTGCCATATCGACAGCGACAACGTCTGTATCGAAGCCCGCGGCTGCCATATCGACAACGTCTGCATCGGAGACCGCGGGCGAACCGATGGCGCCGGAAGGCAAGTAGACTGTCGGCTCGCCCGCAGGTACTCCACTAACGCGAGAGAGGCACGAGATGTGTGATATGAACCTCATTCAAAGATTCTACCGCTAACGATTGCGCAACGTAGATGTCCCATCGCGCAATCGTTAGTGAAATATTGGTTGTTGACATTACAGATAATAAGTGAGAAGTCTTTTTCAAACGAGATGTTGCATTCACTCTTTTTTCTTTTGAGTTGTTAAAGATGTGACAATCAACTTCCAGTTCCAAAAGTTTATTGTGTGAAGTAGACTCTCGTTTTAAAAAAACTTTTTTTTTTCCAAAAAAAATATAGGATTCAGATTTATTTAGTTCAAGATTTCATAAATTGTCATATTCTTGCGTTTGAAAACCCAATTTCTGGATGTTTTTTTTCACCCCTAGAATTTGATATGTCATATCTCTTGTGGAATGTGGTTCAGTTTATAAGAAATGGGAGGAAATAAAAGATGGTCCGGAATTAAGGAACAACATTTGGAATAAATTCGTTATTTTGTATGATGCATGTATTGACAGTAAGGCCTATTTCTTTGGTGATCGATGGATCAGAAGGTTAATTACATTTGGACCGAGTATTAGATCGCTATTGACGGTAACCTAGTGTGTTTCAATGAACTGTTGTCAACCGAATATATAAGGTATATCCAATTGAGAACAAATTCCTCACTTTGAACGCATCTCATGAAATCAATGAAGTGTCTTGTATGGTATGCTTGAGTGCATAATTTTGGTTAACAAATCATCTAGATTAAATTTACCATCAAATAATTCATGATGTCGATGTGCTTCATCATGTTGTTCATAACTTGCTTTAAAGCACTCTGGCTACCACAACGAAGATTAATCACGTCTGTTTTAATTACATCTATATGATAAGCTTGTCAAACCAATTGCTTTCTTTGCCACTTCTGCTACTATCTCATAGTCAGCTTCTGTAGTACACAAAGTTACGCATTTTTGCAAGATAAATTTTCAACTTATGCTTTCATCATCAAATAAATAATTAGTTGTTGATTTTCTCTTGTGTAGATCCTATACATAGTCAGCATCAATGTAATTTAACAAAGATTTGACATTGTAAAATAGAGTATCAAAAATTAAGCTATAATACATAACACTCTTCAAATACCTTAGAATTCATTTCATTTGTTTCTTAGTGAATCTTTCCTAGATTTAATATGTACTTACTCACCTTGCCCAATGCTAGAACAATATCAGGTCTAGTGCACACTGTCAAATACATGAGATTGCTCACAGTTTGTTCATAGGAAACATTAACATTCTTACTTTTTCAATTGCATTGGTATGACATTGAGCTACTAATTAGATGTTAGTATAAACTCATGTAAGAAGTGTTATTGGCTTTCAGGTGATGTTGATGAAGTATCTACATAAGGATTTGGATAGAGTTGAATACTTGGAAACTAAACGTAGTTCATCGCCTTGAATATTACACTAGTATTTTGATGTATGTTTTAGTGAAAAAAATCAAAATATGGCATGAAGTTTTGTTTTGTGTGCTTTTTTATGCTCCTGAAACGTGGTTTTTGATTCTTGAAGATAATTAATATCATAGAATTTAACGTTTAGACTAGAAAATTCATCTCCACATAACCGACAAGAATATGTTCATCTTTGTGTTTGTTGTTTGTATCAATAACACCAATATCAACTTGTAGTTAAGATCATGTCTATGTTATGAGCATCTAGTTATCCAAAGCAAGCTTGAATGTGTTGAAATTGTGAGAAATTGCAAGATTATTGACATTGTATTTGTAGGTTTAATGCTTGCATGGCAAGATCCAAGAATCGGAATTGAAGTGCATTCAAACGACAAGTTAAGTGAATTGTTCTCTTGTATCTTGTGCATGCAAACCATCCAGCAGATCCTCCTTTGAGGTATGTGAAGGATATAAAATGAGTGGAGATTTCATCAAAAGCAATACAAGACAAAATGTGTGTTGTGTGTGCAAGGGAAAACATTAAGTTTTTTGACAAGATGGATGTGGTGTTAAAGATGTTCGCGGTGAAACTCTCATTTGGAAGAAACAAAATATGATGCTAGAGAAATTCTAAGGTTTATCTAATGTCTAGATGAAAATTTTATGAATTCATCAATAGTGACCACATTTGTTTTCTTGCTCATTTTATTTCTTTCCAATTCTACTACATTGATGTTTGCTTAACATTGATTTCCACTTCAGTAGTACTTTTATTAAAACTTACCAAATGAAGCTAAAATTTACTACACCAAAATTTGTCACATCTCTTCACATTCATGAGCAAGCTTTCAGTCTTAGAAACTGCTATCTACAATTTTGAAAACGAGTCTCCACAACTTTGAGTTAGAAGAAGAAGATGCAATATTTGTACTCCAAATGAAAACAATTTGGATACTTTATTAGTTTAGCTTATGAGCTTAGATAAATCATATCTGTCAAGTTACCTTGCTATGGCATTTAGCTTTCCAGTACATGTTATGAATCTTAACGTAAAACCTAAAGCCAAGTACGAATCACACGAGAATCACACGAGACACTCATATAACTTGGTTCACCCTCAAGGGCTACGTCCACAACTGAAACACGCGAGAAAGTTTACAGACAAGTGAATACACAATACTGCTTCAACTGAAGCCTTGGCATTGGAGGTATATTTATACCCAAAGCCAGCGACACACCTAGCTATAAATAGCTATAACCTGATGTTACTCCTTAATCGGAGTTAACCTCAATAATAAAAAAAAAATGTTTCATAGTTTTTTCAAAGCGCATCAAAGTTACAATGCACTTGTAGACAAGCATTGGGTTGCAAACTTTACTTCTTGACTAAATACCTAGTCAAGTCATGTTATAGTTGTACAATTATGACAAAATTCATGCGAATGAAACGTGTAAAGAAATTGGAGACTAAAGTGAAGTATTAGTTGTTGAAAAAAAACATATGTTAAATGAGAAGTCTTCTTCAAAAGAAGATGTTGCATTAACTCTATTTTATTTTGAGTTGTTAAGGATGTGACATTTAATTCATTGTAAATGCCAAGAGGTTATTGTGATTTAAACTTCATCCAAAGTTCTCATTGATAATGACTGCCAGGATGAAAAATCCACAAAATTTGGAATAAAATTCAAGACTTCATTATGAGTTGAATTCCATTCAAAGAATTGATCTCTAATTATTGCATGGAAGAAAAGTTTATAGAGATTGGAGACTAAAGTGAAGTATTAGATGTGTGAATTTAATCTTTTTCAATGATTCAAGTGCTAAAGATTATGACGATACATTTACAAAGGTTAGTATCTACTGTTAAGTATTGGATGTATGATTTGAAGCTCATTCTTGTGCTAACAATTGCTTGAAGGTAGCGGCAAAAAAAGTGAAGATTAAAATGAAGTTTTGGAGACTAAAGTGAAGCATTGGATGTGTGATTTGAACCTCATTCAAAGCTTTTATCACTAACCACTACATAGGTGGAACTGTAAGACCGGGTGTTGCACATATGTACTAAATCCTATAAGTGATCAAGTGATTAAGTACGATTAGCCAAGGCATAGCTAAGTCTAGCTAGTTATGACTAAACTAGTTAGTTATAACTAAATTTATCTAGTCATGACTAAGTTTGGATACAATGTCTATAGTTGGCGGATTAATTAGCGGAGTTCTAGAAGAGTGGAGTGAGCACTTCTATTTTTTCTTTTACAAGGAGTGAGCACTTCTATTTTGTCTTATACAAAAGTTTTAGATTCCAAGGAATTAGATATTTGACTAGAAGTTTGGATTTGATTGATTTGACTCAATATATGAAAGATGATTGGCTAGTCTAAATCTAGTGTTGACTTAGTGGTTAAGAAACTTGTAGAAGTTTTAAAGCTTCCAATGGCATGTCGCCACCTCAACCTCGGATTCCGGAGAATTCTAGAAGGTTTAGGTAGGCCAATGGCATGTTGCCACGTATAGTGGGTTAGTCAAGTTTACCTAGGTAAAAGTAAGTTATGAGAAATTACCACATGTTACCATGGTAACTTCTCAAATAATATAAATAGAGAGGTAGAGTAGCACCTCTCAAGGAAGTTTGGAGAGTCATGTGTGAGGACTTGTTTTAGGAATGAAGGAGTGAAATTTTTTTTGAGTATCTTGGAGTATTGACGTGTGTTTACGTTTATGTGAGGAGAGTTTGTGAGTGAGTTGGAATGATACATGGAGAGTTTGTGAGAAAAAGTGTTTGGGACATGAGTGTGAAGATGAATCCTAGTATTCTAGAACCATGATGCGCTACCGCAAAGCCAACACAGGTAAACTTGAGTTAGAGTCAGCCCGGAGGTTGCAGAACGTCTATAGAGATCGGAGACTAGAGTGAAATATTGGTTGTCTGATTTGAATCTCATTCAAAGATTTGAATGCTAATGATTGCACAAACGGAAAATATACACATATTGAAGACTAGAATCTTGAATGCAAGAAGTTAATGAGATGAATTTTTTGATTTCAAACAACATAAAATTTATCTAATTTGTAACACTAGGGTTTAGAGAGAAGTTCACTCGAAGATAGAAACGTAAACTCTGAAGATGAGAGATACCAACAATGGTTCTCCTCTCCCTTATATAGCTCTCACCAACAAGTACAAGGTGATAAGATCTAATCCCCACCATCCATCCCACTCCTAGTGGATGGATGACGTGGCGGATAACCCTAACAAGCACACGGATCGCTGACGTGGCGCATCCAACTAACACACTAACTAACACACTCAATCCTTACCTACAAGCACACGGATTGCTGACGTGCCACTGTCAACTAACACATCCACTCTGTACCTACCAAGTGCGCGGATCGCTGATGTGGCAACTATGACTAGTGCACACTAAAGTATCTACATCCATATTCAGAGTAACCTCTACTTTAGTTCTAACTAACTAAAGATGGTTACAAACCTCCCTCCTTTTAAGATGCAACGTCCTC